ACAATATTTATTAAGATTTTTACTATTGTATCTTTCTATATCACAATAATTTCAAAACAACATTTATTAAACTTTAAGAGTAAATTTGACTATGTGGCCAATATTCTGATGTGTTAATTATATTTCTTATTCTTTATGTAACTATTTTAAAATACATACTCCTTCCAAATTTTTTTATAATTAAAGCCAGTAATTTTATTTATAAAGTAAAGAAAGAAGAACTGGAATTGCTCTGTCTATAAAGGGATGGTTTTTTGTGTAATTTTGCTTTGTAATTTAATTTCATTTAAAAACCCTGGATCCTAAATAACATTTCAACGACTGGACTAAACTATTAATATTCCCCTTCCAAGAGTTTCAACCACAAACTGTGATGACTTGCTCGAAAGCGTTAGGTTTATGGAATTCTCCGTGAGCTTTTAAATAAAAAAAAACAATTCATATAATTTCATAAAATTGTTTGAGTATAATAATTATATTTAAAATAAAAATGAGTTAAATAAAAAATATTTATTTTGATCACTAGTTGACTAATTTTTTTAAAAAAAGATATAAAAATTATAAAAAAGGATTTCTTGGTCCTTTGTTGTAGGTTTTTAGGTTATTTTTTTTAATTATTTTTGTTCTTTTTTATAATTTTTGAGATCCTTTTATATTATTTTCTTGTCATCTAATGATCAAAGTTCATTTTTATTAACAATAAGAATGAAACTGCATTATTTTCAAAAATTTGAATGAAATATTATACTGAAAAATGGGTCTTATATGCTTATGGGTATATAATTTTGTGGCCAATTTATCATTTAATCCTTAAAAAACTTGGACTAAATTATTCCTATGATTGATAAAACAAATTTTACTGAACATTGATTTTATGGGGGACATACTGAAAAAATTGTGCCAATATTCTTAAAATATGTAGTTTTATGTATACATAAAAACAAGTAGATGTATAATAGTTTCTCTTATATTTGAAAATAGATGAAATATTAAAAATATTTCATATATACACACTCTTATTATTACTCTTTTTTTTTTAAAATGATACATTTAAAAAGACACTTATATATGGTATTTAATAAAGCTAAAGTTTAAAATATGTAATTTCTTTTTAAAAAATTAAGGTTTGAACTAATATTTTTTAAGAATCATGAATCAATTATCAATGCCGTATATCTTGTTTTACAAGAAAAAAAATATATATATATATATATATGTATATGTATATGTATATATGTATATATACATGTATTAAAATAATAATATCACACTTTTTTGTTTTTGTTCTGAACTGATGACAAAGTTAAATAATGCGTGATATTCCCAATGACCATTTAGTGTGGTGGCATTGACATTAGCATCCTTAGGATCCCGTCTTTTGTGGTAAGAGGTTAAATGATCAAAGTCCTAGTGGTTAAATGGAGAAAAGTCCCCTTTCCATGCAAGAAAAGGTTAGCTAAGTTTGTATAATAATAATAATAATAATAATAATAATAATAATAATAATAATAATAATATATGTGCTATTCAATTATTTTAAATCCTTTTTTTTTTAAATTGAACTTCTAGTAAGCTTCTTATTTCAATTGGTTAATACTTTGATTAGAATATTTTTAAAGGCATACTATTGATCAGACCCCACCAATAATAGATTCTTTTCAATTAGGTTGGAGATGTAGAAGAATTGAAATTAAAAAATCTAACTACTTATTTTTTGCGACATATTCCCCCATTGTCACATTAATTTGAAAATGACCTTAGGTAAATGTGGCATTAATTTACATTCTATCCATTAAAAACCCGCCACCACCTCAAATTATCTTTTTTAATCATAAAATGTAGCCTCTATCAACAATAGAGGTTATTTTCTTTGAAATATTTGGAGCAAATAACCACTTTAAATTACTTTAATCTTACATGTTGAGCCTCTTCTTTTTCTCATACATATCCTTTAAAAAATTTGATAAAATTATTTGGACAAATTAATGAAATTTTCTCCAAGCAGAAATATAATTTTATTTTTCATGTCACGATTTATGAACTCAAATTCTATTTTTTTTTCAAATTCCATCTCTCTATTTCGTAAAGAAAAATTTGATGGGTTTGCTAGTTCTAAACTCTATCCAAATTTTTGTTCCAAATATCAGATTTTATAGTTAAGCAAATTAACCTTCACCCTAATAAATCCCATATAAATTCAAGAGATCTATGTAAGAGAATAAACGGACCGAAATTCTTATTATATACCATATTAAATGATAACAACAAATTTTTAATATTCACATGTGTCAAATTTTATTCATAATTATTCCTTTATGAGATATAAATTTATGTTTCCCTGATTACAACGTGCCGATGGTTGTTTCAAAGGAGTAGTGGATGTCATGCATGGATCATACCTGTTATTATTTTAGGGGACACTTGTTCTATATGTGTATTGTAACACTCATTTTTACCAATAATTTTAACACAAATATATACAAATCACTAACACTTATCTTTTTTTTTAGGTTGATAATTAACACTTGTCTTTGGGCCATAGCTCGTTGTTTCTGTGTAGCAGGTTGTTCCACGTTCCCCTGATATATTGAATTTGGACAAGTTATGAATTTCTATCAAAATAATATTTAATTAAGTATATAACAAATCACCATAATTAATAGGGCAAGTATTAGAAGATAATATTTCATAATCAGCCGACAAGTAAAGAAGATAATATTTCGCTTTCGTAACTGAATTTGACCACTTCTATAAGTTTTTGAGACTAAATTTATCTGAACATAGGTCAAATTAAAGATAAAACATATATATATTACCTTAGATTAAAATTGTTTGAATTAGAGAATTCGCAGGGAAAAAACAGAGTTAGCTGGCAAAAAAAAAAAAAACTCAATAATGCACTAACGTTGATGGATCAATCTACTAATAGTGCCCAAGTGGGTTAATAAGAGACAATGAAAGGAGACCGAAATTTAATTTGCCTTTATTTGCAAAGAAACTTAGCTACATTCTGAGCATGAAGGTGGAATAGCTTATGACCACTTCCGATGAGTTATAAATTCTATTAAAATTAAATTCAAGGAATCATAACTATTCAAAACATTGACCATTGGATCTACAAAACTATTTTCAGATGTCAAGGATCTTTTTATGCGGGATTAGAAAGTTGCTTATGAATGAACATGTGATTGTAGGATAGACAGAGAGTCTACAGCTTTGATGGAGCTTTGTCATGATCGTAGACATTCACCTTTGTTCAGACATTATTGGTCTTCATTAGAGAGCTCCAGCCTTTCTGTCTATTTTCAAAAAAGGAAAAAATTGACCTACTTTCCCCTTATGATAATCAAAAAGTGCTGCGAAGATGAGAGAGATAGTGCATGACTAAGGGAGCTTTTTTTTTTTTTTTTTTTAAGTTTTACATTAATCACAAACTAATAATGTTTGTCACTTACATAAAAATAGCTTAAATTACTTTAAAAGGACTCACCACATATTTATATAGTTGTGATTAATTCCCCAATCACTTAGTGTAGGATTATCATATATCTAATAATGTTTATTCATTTTGTAGGTTATGAATTTATTTTATCTAAAGGTTCTTGAAAGTGCATAAAAAACTAGCTAGGTTTTACTCTCTTAAATGATGGTTGTGACTAATCAATAAATAGTAATAATTATAAATTAGATTCAGTAATTATTAATTATTACTAATATAGATTTCCTCTCATAATTAGGCCTCTATCCCTTAGTGTATATGACCTATTTATTGCAGACCACATCCACAAAATTAAGGCCAGTTTATTTAGGTTTAATATTCAATTCACGTAACCAGTTTACTTAATTACTAAATTTTTAAGTAATTAATTAATGCAATAATGATATTAATAATTTGTTTATATAACTGAGCATTAGCTTAATTTTTTTTTCAAAGATATTCTCACAATTAGCAACCATGAAACTAATCTCTCAAAAAATATGAATAACATTTAAGGAATTGTCCTCTCTTTAGCTATATTCTTTATGTACACTTTCAAGAATTGAATTTTGAAATGATATTTAAGCGGCCTAGATTGCTATCTTTTGTGTCACACCCACTTGGTAACACAAACTTAAGTTTTTTGGGCCAAAACTTTAGCTTAATTAATCATTGATTCTTAGGTCGATTCAATATATAATCTCTCTGTTTTAATTTATAAGATACTTTTAAATAAAATTAAGTATATCAATAAGTTCATTAAATACAATTTACAAATTTATTTTTTTAAAAAAATATAAACTTTTAAAAAAATCCTTCATTTAATGTTTCATTTATGAAAAATATTAAAGAGGGAGAATATAATGAAAAGTGTAATATTTTAAAAAATATCATTAATAAAACTTTAATTTTGTCAAAGTTTCTTATATCTTGAAATTCTAAATTTTCTCTAAAAACGTTTTAAAATTTGGAACGAAGAGAGTAGAAAATTTTCACTTTATAATTTTCAGGGCAATTAAAGGAGACAAGTAATAAAAAAATAATCCATATTACACACACACCCCAATTTATAACTAAGACAACTATTTGTGTGCAAAAAAACTAATACAACTAATTTTTAACAAATTTTATTATTCCAAATAATCATAAATAATCTACTGTCTAAGTTATATCTAATGTATTTTATCAATAAATACCGCTATAAAAATAGCTTATCTAAATATATATCAATCAATAATATTTTCACACACAACAGCTTGATATGTGAATTTTTTTTCAATGGAAATATGTGAAACTTAAAAATTAAATCTTTTTTTTTATACAACTTAAAAGTTAAAACTCAAATCTTTATCAATAAATATAAATGTTATATCCTTTCATCCCACAAGGAAATATAATCGTTATATTCTATGTATGGATCAAGCGAAAGCCGTGGGCCATTATTGGACCAATGAAAAGGCCTCGCTATCATTTGGGCCAGTAGGCCCAGAAAGTATAACCGACCATATTTTGGGTGATTTCTTTTGTCACTTGGAGCTGACCTGAGATTCAGACGACTGCGACGACACTCCGAGGCTCCCGCAACACCATCAATGGCTGCCGTTAACGAAAAATTGGTCCTCTCACTTGTTATGTGGTTATTTCCGCTTCTTCCTATCACTATCGCTTACAGAGCCGGGGATATCGTTCCCATGAGCAGGATGGGTCAATACCACTCTGTCTGTGCTCTCAATTTTCTCCGTTTCTTTCGGTTTGTGTCCTTTAATCGTTTGTTTATCTGATATGGTTTCTGTGATCTGTGAATTGTATGTGACAGTCAAGAACGGTGTGGCACGACCTGATTGGCCGGCATTGCCCCGTCTTCGGAGTAAATCGTGAGGTTCACGTTCATCGAATGGACTTTTCACCCTGGGCATTTTATTTGGGTTGCTCAGTTTGCAGTATCTCTTTGTTCATGTCAGTTCATTTGTTTGTATGGGCATTGATATTTGAATTGATTCTTCATGGAAATTAATTTACAGGTTTTGATGCCGATTCCAAAGCCGACAGGTTTTACAGGGGCTGATCCTTATAAAATGTAAGAAATTTTCTGTGTGCCCTTTTTTCCTAATGTGCTCAGTTTCCTAAGAAGAATATTGTTGAGGAAATTTTCTCTGCGGAATTATTTGCATAAATGGTAATTGCTAGTATAGCGACTGTAGATTGGGTGGGGGATTATCACGGGTTATGGGTGGGTTCTATATTTGGAGAAAATCTTGCCACCTTTGGCTTTGAGAAGAGGTAGTCGATTATCTCTTTTCTTTTCTTTCTTTTTTGGTTGATTACCCGGGATCTGGGGTCGATTTCTTGTTTTCTATTGCTTTGAAAGCTAGAAAATGCTGAAAATATGGAATTTACTCTTTTTTTTCCCTATTTCTATTTCTTTGCATAAATGGAGTTTGGTCGCTGTATTATCACGCTGGCATAATAATGAAATCAGGAAATCTGTCCCATTGACACTGGCATGAAGTTTTACCTATGTAAAAGGGGTAGTATAGTATGCACACGAAGTTGTGTGTAGTGTGTTGTTTGCTGAAGTAAGGAAGGAAAGCATTTGCTGAGGCCCAGGCAAAAAAAAAAAAAAAAAAGAAAGAAAAATGTATGACGTAGTCAACATAATGTAATGAATTTTTACTTCAACTGAACTGCAGATGTCAAATGAAAGAGCTCATTTCTGTTGTTGGAATCTTTGTACCTTCTATCCCCACCTCTTTAAGCAGTAGAGGAAAATTTGCATCTCACTGGTTTTGTTTATGTGTAGATCATTTCAAGTTGGAAGGGAAAAGTTCTTTATCCCATGGCTTCTGGTGATAAATCGGAAAAGTACTGAGGTTCCAATGATTGAAGTGAACTTGGTAAGGCCGTGTTAGGAATGCATAAGAGAGAAACGACAAAGCCTTTTGTCACATGAATAAACATTAGCACACTCCCTGGCTTTTAAACTGCCAATCTACTATATTTCATGCAGAGGTACTCTGGAAGTGATTTGCTTGGCGTCACTGCAAAAGTTTTGGACATGCCTCACCATTGTATGTGTTTCCTTCCTAATTGTACAATTCTTTTGATCATTTATTAACTTCATTCTAAATCATATTGCAAAGTTGTCAATTAACTGATGCACTACTGTCATGCGTCACCTTGTCAGTTTTTTCGAACTACAAAAGAATGAAAGAACTCATTGTCACCATAATTGGTGTGTGGTAAATAGAATTATGTTGGAAATGTTAACCTCCATGCTTGCTCATTTTTCAGATTTTAAAGGCTTTTAGCTTTTGTATTTAACGTTTGAATTTTTTTTATCATAAATTCAGAAGCATTGCATCATGCAGGAGGACAATATTTGAATGTTGCTTCAGGAACTTTTCTACTTCCAACTTTTGTAACCTTTCTAATTTTATACTATTCTATGATATTCTGCTGATAATTCTTTCTTGACAATTTATTCTCAGGATCAATATTTATTTGAATATGTGCAGATATGTCCTTAAATATATCTTCAATCGTGCATTTTCACTGGTTTTCATTTGATTCCCTACCCTTAAAAAAAATGCTCATTTGCATCTGTTTGTTTTATTTACTGATGCCACTATCATCTGACTGCCCAAAGAGTGAGGCCTAATACTTACGTGATTAACTGGGGGCTAGTTGGGGTCATATGACATACACGTAATTCATTTCCCCTTGTTTTTTCTCCAACTGTCTGATTCTGTAGATATTTTGACTAGTCTGTAAGTTTTAGCCTCATTCTTCTTATCTGACAGATATTGAAATGCATCCTGAGATTCGTAAGCAGTTCTGGGATTCTCAGCACTGGCCAAAGCATATACTTGTCAGATATACATGGTTGGTTTTATTTTGTTTTGAGTTAAATGCCTTCAAATTTGACATAGTAATTACTGTTTGCTTATAACTAATATTTTAAAGCAAGTCAATTTTTACTTGAGTGAACCCCCTTTTTCAAATTTGTGGAATTTGGATCACATTTACTTCTCTTCCAGTTTCTTCTTTTTATTTGGAAGCACCAACCTTTTTTTCCTTTAGGTTGGGTGAAAAAGGTGGAGGGCGGATATATCTGCCTTTACAAACCTGAAATCCATCTTCTTTTAATCATCCTGTAATTTTCCAAACTTCTATCGATTCTGTATCCATTAGCTTTCCCTATGTACTTTTTAAAATTTTAGGTATTGGGACTGATTTAGCTGATTAGGCTTACTTGATGTTAAGTGATAGGTTGAACCTATGCTGAATGTGGCTTTGTGCAATTGTGCTAGCTTTTGCCGAGACATTTCCCCTAGTCTTTTGTCCTATCTGTTTTAAACTACTAGAAATCTTTAATGTCATTGTTCTGAAACGTCCAACTCCTAGGACAGTACGTTTTTCTTTTATATAGTCCCCTTTTCTTTTTCTTTTTCTTTTTTTTTTTTTTGGGGGGGGGGGGACCTTGTGTTACTTTACTGGTAATGTTTGTGGCACCACTTTGTCAAATTTGTTATTTACATGCAGTTTATTATCCTTTTAAGCAATGCCATTCTATAATCCTAACATATGCTGCCAGGCTTAAAATGCATTTCTGCATCTTTACCATCCATTAACTCTTTAACTTATTCCAATCCATGCCTTATTTCCTTTGAACTGAATCTTCCATAAAGAAGTCCCCGTAACTTATTTGAATCCAACATTCCTATTTAGTTGGGGCTAAATTTTGTTGTTATCATCTTTTAATGTACTATTTTAATGTAAATGTTTATGCTGTCTAAAATTTGGAAAGAACCTCTTAGAGCAGTGAAATAAAACAATTTTCAAATCTTTTGGATCACCTGTTGCTGGAAATACGAACTTATGATAGTACAGTTAGGAAGACATGCTTTAGTCTTGTTGCATTTTGGCTCTGTAATTCAGGAAAAACGGGTGCTGAATCAGCATTTGAAATGTTTCAGGAAGGAGCAATCTGAGATAGATGTGACTTCTGGGTTTTTTGTTCTGTTTGGATCAGGTAACTAATAATCATTCATTTTATTCTGTTTTGATTAGGCGAACATATATCTGACATAAATTGGCACTAGTTAGGCGCACAACCTTTTTCATGTTTGTATTATTTTTGCAAATGCACCTCACAGATAACCTTTTTCAGTGTTTGAAGATAAATGTGCCTGTTTTAGGTTAGGATTAAAATAAGTTGTAAATGAAAATATTGTTTTTAATATGCACTTTGGCAAGTTTCTCTTACGAAGAGTACGAAGAGTCCACTTATATTTCCATTGCTCGTAAATATATCCATGGATTTATGCAGGACTTGCGTTGTCTTTTATCCTCGCGATCTATGTATTGCAGTCATCACGAGACAAATTGGAAAGGTGGTTCTTTTCATTCTTCTCAACATGTTGGATTTCTAGTTTACATATCTCAAGCTTTACTCATCACTGTCGTTAATAACTTTGCAGGTTTGTAAGAGAGACTGTAGCAGAAACCAGCATGCCTGGAGTGGTGGAAGTAGCAAAGGTTGAATGACCAAATGCTTCAAGCTCATACATTGTAATATAAGTAGGACACTGTATAAATGATATCCAAATCACTGTTGTAATCTTCACAAAGTAGTTAAATTCTGGCTCTGCGCTGTAGGAACTAATAATACATTCACATATAGCATTTTCCAAAAGATTTTGATTTGATGGGTCTTAATCTTGCACATCACCCACTAATATTATAACATAGCAGCATGTGTCAACTAGTGGAAACGGATAACTAAACAGGATACTAATCTTGGCAAATTTTTTACTGTATAATCTCTGCACGTTCTTGCTCAAATCTTACAAGCATGTTTTCAAATTGGCAAAAACAAAATATATCACTTCAGGTTATATTCTTTCCCTAATTAATTCTCTTATTTTGAATACGATTTATTGATAAAGTGCAAGACAGAGATGTGGATTGAGATAAATGATCAAAGATTTCGACGCGTGGGTATGGGTTTGAGCTTTTAAACAAATACCCAGAGTCTCATTTGGTTGATATTCCTCTAAGGAGGATTACTTGGCATCTAAAGGCTGGTTCAGTTGGGTCTCTACTTAGCGCCTCAAGGCATCGCTCCGTCCTAGGAGCCAGTTTTTTTTTTTTAATTATTTGGTTTGTATGTCTATTGGATATATCATTACTTCTTCATATCTTATTTATAAATTATTTTTAATATATTTTATTAGAACTAAATAAATTTTATTAACTTTATCTTAAAATTTAATAAATTTTCACATTTACTCTTAATAAATATTTTTAAATTTTATTATTAGTATTTTTATTCAAAACGTTTAATAACAGAAAAAAATATAAAGATGGGTATTGAAAATTAACAAGTGTTGAATAAATGGGATTAAATTTTTTTTTCTCTCTCTATCTTATAAATAGGATCAGTGGAGTATTTTTTATTTTCTCCTATTCTATTTATAAATTATTCTCAATATGTTTTATTGAAATCAAAGGAAATTTTAAAATTCATTATATATGTTTAAAAATTTAATTTTACTATCATTAAATATAAATAATGAGAGGTATAAAGAAAAACTTGTGTTAAAAATTTAATAACATAACTTATAAGTAGAATTAATAATTTTTTTTCTTTGCCAAATAAGTACGAGGGAGTATCAAATTTCAACCATAGGATATGACTCATATGAGACAAGATCAAGTCTCAACATCCATACATTGAATTTCGACTGAGACAAATCTTAATTGCAATTAAATTAAGACCAATGAGTTCGTTAGAATTTTGACAACCGTTGTTTTGGCATTGGATTTGGTTGTTGGATGTATTAATTACTGTATTTTTTTCCCTTAAACAAAGCAATCACCTTTTGCTGTCCATTTCCACAAAAACAACTCTTGGAAACCTTGCATAATTAGCCACCTTAAATCCCGGCACCAAGCATATGCAATTATTAATTAGCACTCGCACAAACTTCCTCCATCCTTTAATATTAGTTCTAACACTAAAAAACACACAAATCTAAAATATATTTCCTCCATTTATAACGCACTTTTGCTGAATTATACACCACCAATGAGTTAGTTTATTATTTTTAATATTACACATTCTTTTCATATTTATTTTTATTTAATAAGGTGTGTTAATAAAAAAATTTATTAATTATACCTTAAACGATCCGAATTTCTTTATATTTTTGAAAATGATACTTAAAAAATGATTTATAATACTAAACACAGGGAGTATGCATGTTTTATGTAAAAAAATAGTTTTTACTTTCTATTTTTACCTTTTATTTAATGTCACAATATTTTAACCGTTAACTCCCTAAAAACAAGTATTAATTAATTATATCTAATTTTTTTATTAAGACTTAATATCTAGAGACCGAGAAAGTACATTTTGATGTCTTTTTCCCCTCAATTAATCATCAATTATCACATGAACAGCTTAAAAATAATTGCTTCGGAGTTGCAATTATATTTATACATATACTCCATACACGTACTCGAAGGCAAAGCTCATCTTACAATTTAGCTCAGGTCATCATCGAAGGCCCTGAAGAAAACTAAGAAACTAATCACAAAACTTCTGCAAAATATAATTCTTATCCATATTTTGATTCTCAAATCTCAATCTTCGCAAGTTCCATGTCATATATTATCTATAATTAAGAAGAAGGAGAGCGAAAGTGATAGTAATTAATAGGCAATAACTATATAACAATTTGCTGCTTCCTAAATAATGACATTGACAGGTGTTGCTTTGAGATCTCAAGGCAAACTTAATCGATGCTTCCCATTATTATTTTTGGTCACCGTTTGATCATATAAATATTAAAAGAAACAAAACACTTTGATTTCCCAAATCGTCTTTTTATGGGTGGAACAATTCGACCACCCACGTTCAGGAATTTAAAGAAACTAACAACGAAAAGTGAAGCTAACAATAAATTAAAATAATGCATGAGAAGGGATTGTAATTGGATGTCAGGTTGGTCCCCATTGAGATTCATAGTACAAACCAAAAAAGTCATGACTCATGACCAAGTCACTAATCCTCCCATGGGGATTAAAGTGCTAATTAATTAATTAGTTACAAAATAAAGCATGTATACTGTATTAATATGCATATAAAGGATGAGCTTTCTATGCTTACTGATATCTCTGACATGCATATTTGATTGAATTCTCTTTGTGTGCTATGATGTTCTCTAGTCTCTGCATTCCAGCTACTCTCACCATTCAAAAAATATAAGATATTTTAATTGAATTACATTTCTAATAAATTAATTAATTATTTTTAAACTAATATTATTTTTTTTATATTTATTCTTATTTAATGAGGTGAAAGGTTGAATGGCATATTTGTTAAGGGTATTTTTTTCCAAAAAAAAACACAGTAGTTATATGTTGGAAAGTTAAAAATACCTTATATTTCATTTAATTGGAGGGAGTGACAAGTAATACAAATTTTTATTAAATTTACCATTTAGTTTGGAATTTTTCTATCAATTTCATGCTTTAATATATAGCATATCAATTTAATTTTTTAAAAAACATAACTTTGAATCCCTGTATTTTGTTCAAATTTTGTTATAAATTCCTGCATTTTTTTCGAGTATTCTAGGTCCTTATAAAACACTTAAAAATAAAAATATAGGGATTTAAAATATAAAAAAAATACAGAAATCTATATCAAAACTCGAGCAAAATACAAGAATTTAAAGTTATATTTTTTCTTAATTTCTTCAAAAGACTTTCTCAATCAACATCTTCTTTTTTGGAAGATAATCCTTAATCATAAAGAACGAACGGGATATTCAAAAACTAATGTTTTTAAAAATTTTAATTGTAAAAAAATGGCCTAAGAAAAATTAATATTTGGAGACTAAATTATATATATGTTAATTTTGTTAGTTTATCAAATATTTCTCATAAATTGGTCCGGAGACAGTATCATATAGTTAAGAAAATCAAGTTGCAATTCGTATTGTATTAATAATAATTTAAAACTTGGGAAAACCCAATCATGTCATCATGAAGTCCTCATGGTGATGGACAAGGATTTTTTGATTGAAGGAAAACTAATGGTGGGGCATATTAGTCATTATGATTTTGAGTTCTAAAAGTGACATACGATAATATAAACTAATTGATGTGGTTATAATAACATATCCTTGTCGTAGGCATTAATTATGCATCGTAATAATCGTACAATGCAAGCATGTTCTATACTTAATCTGCCCTAGAACGTGTTCGCCACCTTTTTGAAGTTCGAAACCCTCTTGCCTTTGAGACTTTCATTTTCTTTCCTACTACTTCTTGCTGAAAAAGGATCAAGAACAAAGTTAGAGAAATATATACAATATATATTAAAAATAAATAAATAGATCTAAATTATATCCATCAAAAGCTGTCTTCAATTTTTTTTTTCTTACTTCTTTCTCTTTTATAAAGGAAACCCACCAGCACCATACTATAGGTGTCCGTCCTTGTTCTAATTCCCATTTGAACCTCACGAATTAAACTCAGTCTCATTATACATATATATATATATATAAAACTGAACGAGACATTCATTCCCGTTCATTACTATTGCAAATCCTCTTATATATTCCCTCTTTTACATTCTTTCATCTTTCTTGTTTATATATCATCGCTTCAATTTTTAGACAACAATTTCATATAATTATTAATTATAAAGAAGGGAAAATTCAGAAAGTTTTATATATATATATATATATATATTAACAATTTTAAGGATATACTCCCTCTATTCAATATTATAGAATACTTTTAATTGAATTGCACTTTCAGTGACTTAGTTAATTGCCTTTAAAATTATATTTTTTTTGTTTACACTTATTTAATAGGATGCTTCAATTAATTTTTTATTAATTATACCCTCTAATTAAAGGTATTTTTAAAAAAATCTTATTAATTACATTTTGAAAGGCCCAAAATATCTTACATTTTCAACAAGATACTTTAAAAAATGTCTTGTAATATTATGCATGAAAATTTGTTAAATTTGTTTTATATTAAGAACCAGAGGGAGTATGTCATCATTTTTCCCTAGTCTCTCGTGTTCAAAAAGCACAAGTAATTAACGAAGTTACATGACAGGTTGTAAATTTTCAAGTCTTTCTTTCAACAAAATATTTCAGGTTAGATGTAATGGAATTGATAAATGGGTACTGTCTAGAGATGAAGAGTAGCAAAGGAAGCATATGGTGAAGCATCTTCGTACGCCTGAAAATGAATGGTCCCAAAAGTCCCAACTAGTTATACTGCTAACGTGCCATTGCTATATATTCTCTCATAATATTATTCACGCATGCATACCTAATAGTGTACGAACAAATTAACTTACAATTGTAAAGTTCTTCTTCAACCTCCCACATTTATTCATTTAATTACTCTTCCACATTAATTCATTAATTAATTCTCACTTCAACTTTGGTGAAGAGCATATTCTAGTCTCAGATTCCTGGTTGCTAATGAATTTCTAAAGCCATTTAATTTGCCATTGATATAATTATGCTAAAAGCTTACAAATATATATATTTAGTTGGTCACTTGTCGGCTTGAAAGAAGAGAAAAGAGATATAAAAAGGTAAAAGCTTGCCTTTCTTAGAAAGTTTTTACTCTCTCTCTCTCTGTGTGTGTGTGATATTTTCTCTGCTCTC